AATATGGCTCAGTTTGGAAACAGAATATTCCATGTAAAATTTGATTTTTGATACCATATCTCCCTAGTATGTTTGCTTTTCAACATGTCTAATTTGAGACAGCTCCACGTTTCACAGTATTCCCCCTTCGGAGTTAACCTCTCCCACAAGTTGCTATTCGTCACCACTGTTGTTCATTAAGAGTTGGTGGAAACGTACCCTTAGCTTCTTCGTACAGCCCTATTTCTGCAGAGCTGAACAGTTTCCCATGCTACTGCCATTTGCTTTACTGCCACAATATTTCAAGTGAAGGGGAACTGTGGTTTGAATTGGGATTGCAAGGGGTGATCAGCGAACCCCCAGGTTATCAACAGGTTGGGCCCTAACAGCTTCAGAGGCATCATCGCGCCATGTCTTTGCATGCTGAGAGATAAGGGCACAATGGAGCATGGATATTTCCTCTCAGGGTGGGCAATGGGCCCAGCCCCCTGCTAGGTGAGGTCTGCAGGCACAAGGCTGCAGCCAGCAATGGGCCCGCCAGATCGCAGCTTGTTCTTTCTAAAGAAAAACAAACAGACAAAAGAAAAAAAGCAACAAAACCAACAAATGAAAGGCATACCAAACGTTTTCCAGATCCTTCAGGGAATCCTGAGTATTAAATACAGTGCCTTCGCTGCTCCCCTCGGGTCTCCGTTTGAGAAAACAAACGGACCCACTTCCAGTAAATACTTAAAATTTCTAAGGCGTTGTTGTTTATCCTGTGCACATTAAATATGATTAATTATATTACAATTGAAATTGGTAGGTGGTTTTAAATTGCTTTGTGTCTGTGGTGATAACTCTACATGCCAAGGCACATACATTTGTGTTGTTTATCTCTGGAAATGAAGGCTATAATGGCAAAGCTCACAAACTTGCAGTGTTTCTATAATAAGTCAGAGAAGTCTGGCAGTGCACTTTCGTTTTCAAAGCTAGACCTGAATCAAGTCAATAAATCTGTATATAAATAAATAAATAAATAAATATTAAATAAATGTATTATGAGATACAGCGTGGGTTATGCAAACAACAACAAAAAAACAAAACCCAGAATTTAAAAATAGGGAATAAGGAGGAAAAAAAGTTAACCAACCGTATAAGAAAAAGAAATGCAACACAAAGGTACTGTGGCAGATGGTGCCTTGAAATGTTCCTCACTAAATTACAGTCGTGCATTTTCCACTCTTTCTAATTAAACATTAGGTTTCATTTATTCCAGATGTGTTTGCTTCAAATAAACTCAGATCTCTTGTTTTGTTTTGGTATTGCAAATTCTTCTTGGGTTCCTGTGATCTGCAGACAGTGGTAAAGGACGTGTAGTGGGGGCCATGATGATCTCTCTCTGTTCTGGCTTATGGTTGCATTCTCCCTAGATATTCACAGTTCTTTGTACAGATGGAGTTAGGTGTGCAAATGTCTTAGGGACCATGCAGAGAGTGAGTGAGTGGGATATGGGGAGGGCTGGGAAGCTGCTTGAACGTGATGTGCTCAGAAGGAAGGAGGAAATGGGAATTGCTGTGAAATCTCTGATACAATGTAATGATTTTCATCTATGTGCTCACAGCTCAAGTTTATAAAATGGCCAGACTGCAGCCTTGATTTATTTGTACTTTCAGAAAGAAAAACCACACCTATGGCAAGGCTGAAGCACTTGAGGTCATCACATCCCACTCCCAGCTCACTGCCTGTGCTTCTGCTCTCCTGATCCTTTCGCATAACCATGTGTGCCTGTGGCTGTCTCCTTGGGCTGCTGGCTGGGGCTGGGGAGGGGGCCAGCGGGAAGGATGGGCCATCAGAGGGCAGTTGTGCACTCTGGAGAAGGCGAGCGATGCTTATTATTTCACTTAGGACTGTTTGCTTTGGCTCACTCTTAAATTCAGTGATAAACAGCAAGCAAATCCCTCCAGTCAGCGGGAATATATCAATAGAATATTGACTCCGACTTGAAAAGAAAAGAAGGCGAACTTATGGAAAAGGGAACAAAAGGCATGTGGAAAGCGGCACAGTCTGGAGAATGAAAATCACAAAGCATACTTCACATCATTCGTGTGGTGTTGGAGGGCAGGGTGCTGGCCTCATCCTGTGCATGCGGTTAGAAAATAAAACAGGCTTGGGCTGCAAGGCACCGAGAAAGCAGAAACATTTGCGGGAGAGGGATGGGAGAGCACGTGTACATGTGCCCACAGGCACAGTGTGCAAATCTGGGGAGACGCCATGAGAGTGAGCTCAGGCAGGAGCTTGTCCAGGAGAAAACATGGAGTGACAAATTCTTTTTGCTTTTCTCCTGGTGTTTGGTATGAGCGAACTGTAGGGATTTTAACTTTAAAATTGTGCCAAATTAACCAATGCACTGAAAAAAAAAAAAGAAAGAAAATCTGTTTATTAACTCATGTGAAGAAACGCTGTGAGGCTAACAAGAGGTTTTTCCAAAACTGCTAGTGAATTTTTAGTGTCTCTTTGCTACTTAGATGTTCCACTTTTAAAAGTGTCATGCATAAAAATTGGGCCTGTTTTAGGCCTATAAGGTTGGATATGTGAAAATGAAGGCACTCAAAGCCCCATTTGCTTGTAAAGTAACAAAGCTTATAAAACATTTATCTTTTATTAACAGTTAACAGCTTTGCAAGCTATTTCACATATAAAATGGTCTGGTGCTGGCCTGAGTAGGGAGTATGGAACTAACCTTGAAGTCTTTTGTTATTTTTAAGCTGAAATGATTTTCCAATTAGATACAGAAATCACAGACAAATCCCTACCTTTCTACTACACCACAGTGGTTCATGGGGACACAAATGCTGTCTACCGAAGTTTTTAAAGTGGATTAGCTAGTGGAATTATTTAAGAACTGAAGCTTAGCCTGGATAGTCCTATAATCAAAAGTAGTTTATTTTGGTAACGGTTGCACTGCAGTGGAGTGGGCTACAAGAATATATGATACTGCAGTTTCAGGGGGTTCATGCAGAGGACGCTGTCTGTAGAAAGTGTCCGTGTTTCTTACCTAACCAAATAATCTGCTGTAGCTGTATGATTAAGTTAGAAAGAATTTCTTCACTGTTGGCCAACGATAATATGTGAAAAGTCAATAAACAGCACGGCATAGCACACAGAGCTCATCCTGCATCCTGAGAGAAGGGATTTCTGCTGACTTGGGTGGCTCGAGTCAGCCAGTATTTTGAGTTAGGATCTTTGCTCCCAAAGGCCAAATGTCATTAGCTGTGATGATAAGCATCAACACTTTGGTCTGAATTCAAGAAAATGTGTCTGCTGTTGTCAAAACCTAGGCAAGGATCTGGTTGGGATAAACTTTGACAAACCCTGGGAGAGCCAGCTCATAACTAAGATTGCAAGTTGCAGCTCCATATCCTAGATAAAGCCAGGTACACTGAAGTAAGCTCTCAAATAATAACAAAATAGCAATTTAAAACCTGCAAGTGATGGAGATGAAGCATTACATGCCCTGCAAATGGGGAATTGCTTCCACGGAACCTCCCTGCCCTGGAGACCTGCATTGCTGTTGTGAAGTTATCACTGAATAAATAACGGGGCTGCAGCTCTTTTTGAGTTTTCAGAAGGTAACTGCAGGAGGGAGAAGGAGGCAGACACTGACGCTTCCCTTGGGGATGTGCTTATATTTTTGTTAAGAGCTTAAAAGGGAAAAGTGATTTTATTATGGCTTAAACTACATCAAGCCACTTCTCAGTGAGCCCTGTATTTACTGTTTTTGTGTAAAAGCCTGGAGAAGGTTCATGGTGAGGGAAAGAAAAATCAACAGGAATTTGTCATGAAGCAGTAATCAGCTTATCCTGCAGTGTAAGGACCAGGGCATGCCCTCACATTCGAAGAAATAATAAGAAGAAAAGTACTATAAAACTGTTCCATCCAGCTTAGTGTTTTTATTGTGCTTTTCCCCAAAGCTGGTGGCTAACACGGCTTAGGTAATGGCCTAACACTCTTTTTCCTAATTTTAGGAATGTAATCATCTAGCGGTTTAAACTCACTGTACTCATACCAGAAATGGGCTGCATTTCCCCCCACCCTATACCAGAGCCATTATGTGTGAGATCATCTGCTGTACTGAGAGGAGATTTGCAGTCCATCCTGCTGTATATGTTAGTGTAGTCATTACTGACCTAGTTGTAGACATAATAATGAAAGGCTGAGATTATGAATTATTATGCCTAATTTGTAAGGGATTCACTGCTTTTGTGTTTTGCAATTCCCATCAGGCTTGAGGATTAAAGCCTGCTGAATTGCATGTTAATACCAATGTGCTTCAAATATATGTGGGCTTATATCACATATTTTCCTAATTCACTATTTTTATAAACAGCAATTTCACTGGAAATATTTACTTTTCAAAGACTTGTTGGAAGCCCAACCAAACTCTGCTGAGCAAAGTGAGCTTGCCGTACCCTCCATCTGCTCTGATCCCACATTCAGCAAGCTCTCCTATGGCAGAACACCAACCTGTAGCTCTACCAAAAGATGTGCAAGGCTTTTGCTCTTTGTTAAAAGGAGGGAGATACACCAATTTCAAACCACTGTGTGGGCTTGCTTTCAATTACAGCTTGAGATGAAAACATCTTATTTACGTATTTCATCCAAATGCTCTGATGGTGCAAGCTTGGTCCTAACAACACACATTCCCAGTGCTTGTGTAGTAATACTGTGAAGGTTCCTATAAAACATAAAGGGCATGCAACATCATTGTGTGTATGCATGAGCTTCAGTGGCAGAATAAGCCTTTCAAAATCATTTCTCTTAGTTGCCTTCTGCAACTAAGGGTTCGCAGAAGACTGTACTAAGCTCCTTGGCAGCCTTAAATCAATGTGTAGGATCTACATGAGTTGGCAACTTGCTGAGTTTGTGAACAAATAGGTCACTACTAGACCCCGTTCGTGCCTTGCTGCAGTCTCTTGAGCAGCTCCTGTTGAGTGCATGGCTCAGTCCTCGCCAATCTGGAATCCCTGTCATTCTTGCAGGATGCTCCTGCTCCACTGCCCGCTGATCTTGCTGCTGCTGCCACTCAGCTCCAGGATGCAGAAGCTGCCTACCAGAGATGAGGAGCTCTTCCAGATGCAGATCCGGGACAAAGCGTTTTTTCATGATTCATCAGTCATCCCAGATGGAGCCGAAATTAGCAGCTACCTCTTCCGAGACACACCTAAAAGGTATTGCTGCCCAGATTAAGTGAGAACTTCATTGGTCTGGGAAAGACCTTATTTGTTGTTTTGAATCAAAGCTGGATCTGAGTAAGAGAAATGCAAATGCCAGCACCCTGTCTGGTGACGTAAGTAACGATATGAGCTGCATCCCAGTCTGGCCTCCCAGCTGAAGGTCCATGTGCAGTTTGTGTGATTTCTGCTACAATGCCAGTGCCCCCGCAGAGCACAGAAGTTCCCCGAAGCAGGGTCACTACCATGTATGCAGGAAAAGGGAGGGGAAGGAAAAACTACAGGCTGACACCACCATACTTACTTCTCTTTTTTATTTCATAGTGTGCTTTAAAGAAGCAGCTCAAGCCAGTCTGGCCTGATCACCCACTTCCCAGCCTCAACCTTAGGGTTAGAAAATACTGAGGTTAGGTAGGAGAAGGAATTGAGTCAAAGAATTTAGCGAAAAGCAGCACTGCCACCATCCTACATGAGTACATGTATGTATGTGCTTCTAGGGCCTTCATCTGGACACACTGAAAAGCATGTCCTGCTTTGAAGAGCATAAACCTAAATCCCAGGAAAGGCCCTATTTCCCTCATTTGTACTTTCGTGACAATTTTGTTACCATTTATAATGTCTGTGGTTAGTGTAGCGGCAAAAGGTGAAACTGATGGAGGGGCGGCAGGTGGCCAAAACCTCCTGGGCTATGATGTCTTGGCAGCACTGTGCAGCTGGAGGTTTTAGCCCCTCATCTCCTTAGCTCATGCCAACTAGCCTTTCGGCATTTCCTCTTATTCCCTGTAAGTTACATTTTTGTCTCTGCTGCTCCATATGGTCAACCACAATAATGTAAATTCAGTCCCTGACAGTTGGTGCCAATAGAATTTATTGATGATGAAGGTCTGTTAACCTTCCTCTAGGTACTTTTTTGTGGTGGAAGAGGACAACACACCCCTAGCAGTAACAGTGACACCCTGTGATGCTCCCCTGGAGTGGAAACTGAGTGTGCAGGAGCTCCCAGAGGAAGCCAGTGGAGAAGGTTCAGGTAACAACTCATCCAAGGCTTTCCTTACCCCTCCAGCTTTCACTTTTCTCCTGGATTCAAAGTTCCTCAAGCCACTGTCAACACAGTGCTGAGTCTCTCAGCAGTCTCATTGCTATGACCTTTGGATCTTCAGCCTAGTCCTGCCTTTGTGCACAAATGTGGCAGTAGGTAGCAACATAAGAAGGAAAAGAGATGTAAAAAGTGAAAACAAAACCTAAAGTGAACAGGAGAGGCAAGATTTCCTTTCCAGTAGGGCTCAGTTGGCCCCTCTGTGAGCCCATCTATTGACAAGGAATTTATTTGGAGACAGCAATATAATTCCTTCTCAGGAGAGGAACAGTCTCTGATTCCCAGAGGTTCTTACACAAGTTCCAAATGTCATCTACGCTGGACTGGGGGATAGTCACATTTGGGCCTCACTGTATTTAGGCAGGCAGCTTTAGAGTGACTCAATAGGGCCAAATGTGAGGACCCAAGCTCGAAAACAGGGAGTAGAGTCAGTTTCTCTGGGAGCAGTATAGCATATCCAAACTAGGTGTTGGGCATAGTCTGGTGAAGGGTATAGCTGCCATCTGCCAGACTCTGGTAACACTGGTCAGGTGTGGTTCCTATTGCCTTTGTTAACCTGAGTGCCAAGCCCTGCTTTATTTGACAGAACTATTGGTAATACCTTCCTAAGAAGGTAAAACCTTTCTTTTTTCATCTCACATTTGCATTTTATGTAGAAATGCAGTTTTCTCATATTCTTGGATCGTGTATGTACAAATGTTTTTCTTTGCTTATAATTTAGGAGAACCTGAACCTCTCGAGCAACAGAAACAGCAGATTACTAATGAAGAAGGCACAGAGCTGTTCTCTTACAAAGGCAACGATGTTGAGTATTTTGTGTCCTCTAGTTCTCCTTCTGGTTTGTACCAATTAGATTTGCTGTCGACAGAGAAGGATACACATTTTAAAGTGTATGCAACTACTACTCCAGAATCTGACCAACCTTACCCTGAATTACCTTATGATCCAAGAATTGATGTTACTTCTCTGGGACGTACAACAATAACACTGGCATGGAAGCCAAGTCCCACGGCCTCATTGCTGAAACAGCCAATTCAGTATTGCATAGTCATCAATAAAGAGCACAATTTCAAAAGCCTCTGTGCTGTTGAAGCCAAGCTTAGTTCTGATGATGCCTTCATGATGGCTCCAAAACCAGGTCTGGATTTCAGTCCATTTGACTTCGCCCATTTTGGCTTCCCCTCGGACAACAATGCTGGCAAAGAACGTGGTTTCCTAAAATCACCATCAAAATTTGGGCGCCAAACATCCTCAAAGCCAAGAGTTGACCTGCATAAAGTTTGTATTGGGAACAAGAACATCTTCACAGTGTCTGACCTGAAGCCTGACACACAGTACTACTTTGACATGTTTGCAGTAAACACTAACACGAACCTGAGCACTGCATATGTTGGCACCTTTGCCAGAACGAAGGAGGAGGCCAAGCAGAAAACAGTTGAGCTGAAGGATGGCAAAGTTACAGATGTGTTCATCAAGAGGAAGGGAGCCAAATTTCTGCGGTTTGCTCCTGTTTCATCTCATCAGAAGGTCACCTTTTCTGTTCATTCGTGCCTAGATGCTGTTCAGATCCAAGTTAGAAGAGATGGCAAACTACTCTTGTCTCAAAATGTGGAAGGAGTACGGCAGTTCCAGCTGCGAGGGAAAGCAAAAGCTAAGTATCTGATTAGGCTGAAAGGGAACAAAAAAGGTGCTTCTATGCTGAAGATTCTGGCAACAACAAGGCCAAACAAGCAGTTATTTCCTTCTCTTCCTGAAGATACAAGAATCAAAGCTTTTGACAAACTCCGCACATGTTCTTCAGTCACAGTGGCATGGCTTGGCACACAGGAGAGAAACAAATTCTGCATCTACAAAAAGGAGGTGGATGACAACTACAATGAGGAACAGAAGAAAAGAGAACAGAACCAGTGCTTAGGTCCAGATACAAGGAAGAAATCAGAAAAGGTTCTCTGTAAATACTTTCACAGCCAGAATATACAGAAAGCAGTTACCACAGAAACAGTTCGGGGCCTGCAGTCTGGCAAGTCCTACTTGCTGGATGTGTATGTTATTGGGCATGGAGGGCACTCTGTCAAATACCAGAGCAAATTGGTGAAAACAAGGAAGTTCTGTTAGTGCACTTGTAAATAGAGATGTATGGAACTCCACTCTGAACATTATCCTACTTCCCGGTATACAGTTTGACTACTTGCACAGCTGAGAAGTTGTGGCCTGTATTTGTACTGTGTAGAAAAGATATCAACTTGTATATTTATGTTTACATAAATGATTGTTTGGAGAAACTGAGGCTGGTGCTCTCTGGCAGCATCTGATAGCTGTACTATCATGTGTCTGGTGAACCACATTCGATGCTCAGTAGATGTCTGAGGCAGCAGTAAACCTTGCAGGAACTGACACTCCTTTGCTTCCACATTGCATGAACTGCTTCTAAATTATTTTATACTTAAAAGGCTGAGATAAATCATTCATTCACCTCGTTACTCACACACAAAAACAAACAGGAGTACACCCTTTCTCTGAGTGTAGATGGTAGAGTTTCTGTAAATTATTTTATAGAGTCTTGTTTTAAATGTTTATGTTTCTATGATTGTAAACTATTAAAATCTTTCCCAATAAAAATACAGATCTAAACTAAATATTAACTGAGCTGCACATGAATCAGTTTCATTGCTAATGTAAATTCTTACCTAGCTGATTTTTGCATTTAAATACTGTATGTATTTCATGTACAAAATTGCCATAACATTATATTCCTGTACAGAAAATTAAAAATAATATTAGATTATATGTTGTTTCTTTTTTTTTTTTTTTTTTTTTTTTGGCATTTTAAGGGAGAAAACAGAGTTAGAGATAGAAGATGCAGGCTGCAACTTGAACTGAATTCAGTTAGCGCACACTTATTTTTTATGTTCTTCATCTTTTGGAGAAAGGTGTCCAAAGTTCAGGAGAATGACTCTCTCTCTAACTGATGTTACAGAGAGAGGTTAAAATATATAAGGGAGCCATTGGAAGAGGGGCATTTGTGACATGTTCTGCATCTGCTCTGATAAGAGCACTAAAGGAACAGGACAGCATGGAAACATTTTGTCCCAGATAAAAAAAAGGATTCTGCTTTGTCATGGTTGCAAGTACTTCTGATATATAGCGTTCCTTAGAAGTTCACAGTCTGAGTTAGAGCAAGCATACAATTCAAAAAAATAACTCTTCAGAGAGCTAGACGTTATTTTTGTTAGATTATCATTGAAAATATTTGCTTTCTGAATGCTGCTGATTTTGACCACGGCAATTGTAAATGGGGAGAATTTTTTCCATTGACAAGAATGGTAGTGCTAAGGAAGAAAAGAGTAATTTAAAAAGCACTTATTTCCATTGTGTAAATTTCTTTTAGATATTAAGTGTCTGGATCTCATCTTTTCTAAATTTTCTTATTTCTTTGTTTTTACACGTGTCACCTTCACTGACTCAGAAATTTGTATAGAGCTGCTTAATGGGAAACACACTTCTCAAAAGCAGCTAAAGCAACCCTGTTTCAAGTGGCTAAGAGCAGGATACACACTGCATCACTCTTGATACTGTAGTGTGCTTCAGGGCCTCAGGACAGGTAACCAAGACTTTTTTTCTCAGACTCATTTATACATCAGTGCAAACTGCAGGGTGCAGTACCAAGGCAGTGAATGTTGGGTCTCTTCCTTAGGTGTCCATCAGACTCCTGGTGTTTATAGTCCCCTTGGGAATCTGATAATACACTTAAAGAAACTGGGGAATGAGAAGGAAAATCAAAGAGAAAGAGGCCCAAACCTGCAGAAAGCAGGTTTCTCTTAGGCTTCTCACAGGGGAGACAAAAGCTCGATCCCTGTGTAAATGCTCTCCTGTTTCCTTTGGCTTCTTAGTGCTGAGCTCTTCAAGGTTTCCCTTGTGCTGCTCCCAGCAATTTCAATCTGCAGACTGAGAGGTAGCAGCAAGGTTTCGTGGCTGTACAAGCTCCTGCATCATTCCATACATAGTTTGTTGTTGCAATTCTTGAAGATGCAAATACTCTATTATGAAGTCTAACAAGAAAAAAGCTGTTGTGTTTGATTATATAGTAAACCTAATAATTGAAATTTAGATTTTCCTGGAGACGATCCCTCCTCCTCATTCAAAAACATCTGTGATCTCTTAAGCTGGATGACTTTGGTAACACAGGGTAAACCTGCTGGATTATGGTAACAGGGCACAGGTGAGAAGTCACTACAGGTAGGAATCCCTCAAGGACCAGTCTGATACCAGTGTTGACTCAGTGGTTGCAAAGGATATATATTTCCCACCTTTCACTACCCAAAAAGCCACTGAATCTTGCAGGTAAAGGTGCCACTTGTGCTTTAGCTATTATTTATTTATTTGTTTAGTTACTTATTTATGTCAGGGAATGGTACTCCTTCCACTGATATGTTACAGTATTCACTTCAAAATGTGCATTTTGCAGCCATGCCAGCTCTATTTGTTCTGTTTTTCCACGTTTCTCTGTTGGTTATTTATCCAGTTTGCTTGGCTTTTCTGCCTTTAGTCAATTCTGTTCACATTAGGTAACAAAATGAAAAAATTCCCCAAAATGCATTCATCTTCTATATCTGAATGCTGAATGAATTCAAAGAAAAATGTCACATCTAGCTTTTCTCCTACTGGAATTCTTTTCCCTTTCTAGCTTTATTTTTTCTGGATGAAACTGAGGTCATACTAGTATCACAGTTACTGATAATGCCATTATTATTCAGGTCTTAACAAAGTCAATTGGATCTGAGAGAGGCCTGAGGGATGCAGTTCTTTTAGAGGATGGAATGGAAGGGCACCAGAATGTATATGGAAAAAACAGCCACTACCCTTAAGCAGGAAGTGTCTAAAGTGGATTTTAAAGTTAAACAGGTACCTAAAAGGTAAGTTTTAGGCTGGGTGTTTGTGGGTTTTTTAAGCACAAGGTTTGAGAAGTGATAAAACTGAAACACGAGCTTGGAAGTAGAGGGTTAAGCGGAGTTTGGTGTGTATGTCTCACTGAGAACAAATGCTGGGCTGCGGTCTGCAGCTGAGGAACGTGCGGGAAGCAGTGCATGGTGGCCCACACTGATGGCAACTCCTCGTAAATGCATATCAGATTACTGTGACTTCAGAGTTATTTGAGAACTTAAGACACATTTAAGAACTAAAGACACATTTCAATAAAGCAAATTGCTTACACTTGATTGTGCTGAGTAGAACTCTTGAGGCTGAAGGCTGGTCTACACTATAAAAAGCCCTTACTATAGGTTAAAGGACCAGCACTGTCAAATATGGTGGCGCTATTGGTCTTTGACAGAGCCCTAGGCACAGTTATTTCCCACCTGCTATTGCATCCTGCATGTAGCAGCATTACAGACATCGGCTTCTCTGTTTTCCACAAGTGGTACTCATTTTTATCTTATCTTGTAAAAAAAAATACTGCTACTAATAAAATCAGCAACAGACTTTGTACTAGTGAGTGCAGCATTTAGTTCCAAATCCAGACTGTCACACAGTGATGCTAATCTGGTCAACAGTCCTGCTCAGTTTTAAAGCCACTTTCAACAAGCACTTCAGGTTACAGAGTTACTCCAGGGGAACTTCCTTTTACTTCTCAGATAACAGAATTCAAACCCCCCAGTTTAGATACAGGTGCGTATTTCATTGTCCTGCTTGTCCAGTTCCAGTAATGTTATGGTTGAAAAGTGTGATGTCTGCTTGCTGTGTTTTTGTCTGCTTTAGAAGTGCAAGCCTATTTCCCAGAGAAATAAACTCAATCTTGTCAGTGAATGAAATTAGTAAACAAATAAACTATGCTGCTGATGGGTTTTGGTCCGGAGGACTATTCTCAAAGCAGTTTGGTATATTCCCTGGTGCTTGCATTGACTTTATTAGTAGCTACTTGGTGCAGTTTGTGTCAGCTGGTTCCCTGTCTATAATGCAATGCTCTGTGTCTGCAGAGGGACCTGCTGTGGCTGGAAGTTAGCAGAGGGTTCTTCAAAGCATATCACATTTCAGGGCTCAGGCTTTAAAATATGGTGCTCTCTAGAGAGTACAAGGACAATGTGGATTGACAGCATTTGATAAATGTGTACAGTAAATTAAAGTTGTTTCTTTGTCCAAGAATTTATTTTAATATTTGGGAAAGGGAGGGTGTTTGGCTTCTTTTTTTTCCCTCCCAGTTGTAATCTGCATTCTTCTTAACCACAAACTAATTGCTTACAATGGAATAAGGCAAACCATTTAACTCTATTTTGATTCATTTCCCTTTTGCAATTTCACTGTATGAGCATTCTTGCAGGTCCAAGCTAAAAAGTACAGATAAAGTCTCAGCATATACAAAGAAAATATTTGGTAAGATTCTGGATGCCAGAGTGCACATAAAGTTCTTGCCCTGGTGCAGAAAGTTAGGAAGGAGTATTTAGAGATATTAACATTTTTCTTATGTCCTCTTTCATTTCACAATGTTTACTATTAATAAAAAGGCCTCCTAGCATTTCAGTGATTGTAGGAATGTAGGAATGTAGTGAATGAGGAATGTGAAAGTTTTTTCTTGCTTGTTATACACCTTTTATTTTTCTTACTCTTAACTTCTTGCCCCTTGTTTTCACTCAAACACTCCTGGTTAGAAAGCACAACAGAATAGGCTGTACAGTTTTGGCTAGCGAACCAACTGACCAATTTAACTTCCTCTTCTGGGAAACAAGTAATGATATTGCTAAAATACACAGGGCTATGGCATGTCAACACAGTCACTGATGAGGCTATGGAAGCCTGAGAAATACCCATAAGAACTCTTTTCTCTGCCAGCCTTCCCTCTTGCATAGTTGTTTTATAGCAGTATGGGTACAAAATGAAACTACACTGAAGAAGATGAATTTTTTTCCATCTGCTTTTACCTCACTGAATTTCACTGATTTGAGCATCTGCATCAAGTGCAAGCCCATAGGGATAAGTCAGTGTCTTCCTCAGGTGTGCAGCTCCATCTCAGCTCTGAGAGCATGCAGCTGAGCTCCATTACCAGCCCACTGCTGCAGCCAAGTGACCTTGCTTCCTTTAACAAGCCTCCTAATATGAGCTGTAAAGGGCACCACTCCTGCCTTGGAGGTAAGATAAGAGTGAGTTTGTACAAGTACTTCTCCTTGCTTGTGTCTGACACAAAATTTTTAATTTATGAAGGTTAAACTATGATGCTTGCTTAATACTAGTCAGGAGGAGAAGTCTTCCTCTGCTCTCTGAGGAAGCAATGAATAAGGCATTATTACAAGCATGCCTTGATGATGTAGTGGCAAAGATAAAAATACAGTTAATTACTGGCTTTCTGGGTACTAATGCGGTGTTGATGTATATGTTGATCTCATTACCTGTTTTGTCCATTTCTGCTATGCCTTTATTTTAAGACTGGTTTAATATGGCAGTTTGTGCTGTTTTTATGTGGTAGCATGGATTGACTGTAAGCTGCTTCAAGCTACAGGTATTCAGAGTCTTTAATGTTCTGGTCTTAATGGATGCTGTACACCTGTGTGCTAGTATTCATATTACTTGCTTAATTACAACACTAGCTACATACTTAGTGCTTGAAATATGATAGAAAAATCTGAAATTTTCTTAAATGTAAAATTTGCCTTAGCTTTTGCTGTATCATCAGGGAAAACATTTGCACCTGTATGTGATAGAGCCTGTATGCATCACTGGGAAACAATCTCAAGCAACTGAAGTGGAATCTTCCTCCTTTTGAAGTCAACAAATTTCTGTTTTGACTCAGTCAATACTTCTGTAAATGGGTTAAATGCAGGCAATTTAAGAGAAGGCCATATCCTAAATTTTGCGTGTGCTAATTCATCTTTCAATTACAATAAGCAAAGCTTGGTATTATGTGGATTAGCTTCAGGTGATGATTTTCCAGAAGGCAGTAATTCTCATCAAGCTTACTCCTACTAATTTAAGGGAGAGGAGGGTCTAGCCATCCCTGAGCACTCTTGAAGTACCTACACTAGGCACTCTGTTTGCCAGGCAACTGATGCAGGCACAGAATTTGATGGAGTGATTCTCATATTGTATGGGGTGCTTTCAGTTCTTAGTAATATCTAGTATAACACCTACTAGAAATATCTGGTAGTGCTTAGTTGTCTTACTTTATTGAGAGAACTGTATGTAGCAACAGGCAGCTGAAGTAACTGTACCTTTCTGCTCCAAGGGCTTAGTTTTAATAAACTATTGTCTGTTAATCTTATAATGAATACCTTTCTACCAAACCTGAATTCTCATTTTAATTGTCAAAACTTCTCAATTTTGTAAGTCTGTCAATGAAGAGTCTGACTGACAGGAAGATAACAGTAAAACTACCTAACATTTAATCACAAATCCGAAATACTGTATTATCTTTCTTTGCTTCTAAATTGAGAGACAAGAAATTTTCTGCGCACCCTTTAAGAAAAATGATGGGCATTTTGGATGAGAGGTCAGGGAGGTCAGAGTCCAAGTTAGAAAGCGATCAGATGTTTATTTATTAGTGGTTCAACTTAGTTGCTGAACTGTTCATGCCTATTTGATACTTGTGCTGTTCTAAACCTGAGATTGCTCAGTACTTTGGGTGAAACAGAGTGTTGCAGAATTAAAAATAAGATTATGAAGTTTTTGTAGAGTATAAGATTTTAGTTTTGTTTTGTTTTTTGTTTTTTTTTTCCTCCCCCCCTGAATACTTTGTTGATGCTTACAGTACTCTAATCTCTACTTGATTTCCCTATCTCCCCTGCTTTCAAAATGCTCTCTGGCAAAAATTGCATTCTTCTGTTGAACTGCTGCAGCTGTTTCTGGCTGTGTAGGTTCTACCTATATGTCTGTACATGTAGAAGAGAAGCTGGGCTTCATGTGTCACTTCCATGCTACATTTTTTTTTCCCCAGTAGTGTTTTTTTGAGGAGAGCCTTTCATTTGTTGTCTTTGAGTATGGTATGGATTTTGGAGCCTGTTTAGAGTGAAGAAGTGAAAATTTAACATAGCAACTGTAGAATTCGGAGATGGGCTAGTCTTCTAAACAAGTGTCTAGACTGGTTTATAAGCTTGTGTTATTAACTCTGTTAGAAATGCAAATTCTCCATTTCAGCTGTTCAGTAGTTTTAAATTCTTCTTTTTAGAAGAATACTTTTATGACTTTCTAAGGTCTGCATAGTTGGTTAGCTTACATGAGCAACTAATGCTGACATCAGAGTATGTAGGACATTTTCCCTCCCCTACTGCACTACTTCTTTAAAACCTTGTATTTTAAAGGAAAAATGTTTTAAAATGCGAGTTCAGGTGAACAGATAACTGGCATTTGAAAACTTATTTGTGTCATTTCTTTTCAGTACAACTTGCTCTTTAATGATAAATCTCTGCCCATTTAACAAAAAGACTAATTTATCTCATATTGCAATCATGATTAAATAATGGGTGTATAGTTGGCGTTCTGATCTTGCAATCAGTGTATAATGAAAATCTACTGATTTATGGTATGTTTCTGCCTGTTGAAATTGTACAGTTAAGATTTGCTTTGAGATAGATGAATGTTTATCATGCACTTCAAAAAGGTACTCTTTCCTCCTCTGAAAACTTCTCTTCCTGAGCAAATCTACTATGAAAAACTGGAAAAGAACAGGTGTGAATCTTGGGTGAATAGTCACTTTTAATAGCCATACTGTTTGCCTATAAAGAGGGAAATTTAATCTCAAAGCCAGGTAACTTACTATCTCACTAGGGTGAGGTGATGTTGGTGGATGTTTCAAGTAATTAAGAGTGGTCCTTCCTTTTGTTCTTTCTTGGAATTAGGTCTTATTCCCCAGGATAGGGAAGATGAGTTAGTTAATGTTTTGAGGACTCAAGGAAGAAAACTCTGCTGGTGTAAGCAGGACTTGTGTGTGGGCCGTCGGCACTCTGGCTGCTTTTTCCTCTCACACAACCACGCATATGCCAGCTGCAGTCTGCCCCTATCATTATTACTGTGCTCATTCTCCTCAACTGCCTATCACACATCTGGGAAGCTGAATGGGAAATAAATACAAATACATTACTTCAAGGTCTTTTTTTTTCCATGGTGTTATAATTAGAAGCTGGAGGCATAAATTTCTCGCCGGAGTTTAACATTGAGGCATTGTTCCTCTTCTCTTTTCGTGAGTTCTGTATCTTTGTAGCCATTCTTCTACAGAACAAAAGATTGTTTTAATGGGTGACATATTTAAAACTAATGGGTAGGTACACTGAGCTAGCGTATTTATTGTGCTGTTCTAAAGAGCTGGTATTGCCTGCCTTTAGAGCAGGAGAGGCTGCAGGCTGCCTGCAGATGTTGACTGGACAGACAAGTTGCTCATGAGTGATTCCATTATGTTTCCTCACATCCCTTTCTGAGTAATGTTGGGCAACCGCTCCTAACCTCTAATGGCTTCCTTATGTTCTTTCACCCTCCTTTGTTCAAATGGTGTAGCTGGCTGCTGAGGAGGACAGCACATGACAATGGCCAGTGCAATACAGTTAGCAGGCACATGGCACGTGACAGTTTATAGACAATGCACTGGTTCTGTTTCTTCTGTAATTGTTGACTGAGTGCTGGGTAATTTGGCTCATGCCCTCATCACAGAGGGTGGAACAAGCCCAAATGACATGAAGAAAATACAATGCCTGATTGAAGTGAGTTACAAGTTTCCGGATCCTATTCAGTTGCAGGTTACTTGTTGTTATTGATAGTCAGTGCCCCTTCTCTCATTGTGCTTGGGGTGTTTGATCGCTTTCCTCCAGCCTCATGCACTCAGTGTTACAGATGATTGTATAATTACTCAATCTAGCAGTCACAGCAAGTTTTGCTGTGCCTGGAAGTTTTGATCAGCAGCTCCTACTTTGGGTGAAGAATGAGAGAAGTGGGAAAGACTGGAAAGTTATGACATGCTTTTTACCAGATCATCATGTTGATTTTTTTATACCAAAGTGTGAGGGAAACGCTTCTGAGATCATTGCTGTTTCTGGTGTAAGTATGTGTATATAGCACATGAAAGTGTCACTCGATCTCCTTTCTCTATGAAGTACAGCATGATAAATGCACTACTAATATGCTGCACGTAGTAAATTAGTATTGTCATGATTAAGTGAAATACTAAAATACCTTCATTAGTGGAAAAAAGTAATGAGCCCTGACCAGGGCTCTGAGGTAAGTTGATCTAGACCTCTTTCCTCAGTTGATATGTCCTGGCAGCTAAAAAGGCTGACAGTACCCTGGGATGCATCAGGCAAAATTAGAGAGCATCCAAAGGAGGGCCATGAATATGGGGAAAAGTCTGAAGGGCAAAGTGGTTGAAGTCCCTCAGTTTGTTCATATCAGAGCAGAGGCTGAGAGGAGGCTTCATGGCAGCCTACAGCTCATCATAGGAAATGGAGGGGCAGCGCTGAGCTCTGCTCTCTGGTGACAGCGACAGGACTTGAGGGAAGAGCATGGAGCTGCATCAAGGGGAAGACAGGCTGGGTGTTAGGAAAAGGTTCTTCACCAGAGGGCAGTGGGCATGGCCCTGAATTGCCAGTGTTCAACCAGTGATTGAACAGCGCTCTCAAACATAGGGTTTGAGTTTTGGGTGGTCCTTTGTGGAGGTAGGATTTGGACTTGATGATTCTTCAGGACCATATCCACTTGGGATATTCTCTGAAACCTCAGGTTTTCACTGAACAAAGCCTACATCAGACAAACCTCTTACTGCAGAGATGAGAGAAAAGACAAACTAGACATGGGGAAGGGCTTGTAAACCAATCTCCTGCTGCTCCCTTTGTCATTGCTTCCAGCTTTGGTTTCAGTCAGATCTGTGGCTTTTGTAATTGAAGCAGACTGGGTTTGCTTCGGTCCCTATCATTTTTTTTCCTTTGCTACTGGGGCTTGTTTCTATATTCTCCCACAGCTCTCAGCCATCTTGAAAGCCTACACTGCAACTCACATGCTCTCTGGAAGATTAATACAGCACAAATGTCTGCTGCTTGGACAAGGCCAGTGGGTATATGTGAGTGAGCAAGTATACGCTTGCAGGTTACTCAGGCTAGTCACAATATCTGGAGATGATTTATGTTTCTTCTTTCCATTTGAATGTGAATTTTGTT